CTTTTAGTAAATTGCTCAAAGGTGGGCTAAGTTGTAAAGTAAAGTCAATTATTTCTATCTTGAAAGTAATCACTTATATAACAGTATTACGAGTATTACTTACTATTTTATCAATATAATTTTGAGCATTTTCTAAACCCCATTTTGCCATTGCTGCTTTATAAGTTGTAACTTTATTTGTGTACATAAACTTCATATCTTCATTTATTTTATCGGCATTAAAAAAACTGTACTGGAAATCTGTTGGATATGGTCCATGCTTCTGCGCATACACCGCGGAAACTGCATGTAATTCAGCTAATCTTTCTAATACACGTTTCATGTGTGCCATATCGAAACCTTTCAATCGATCTACATTCTGATAACCTCTTGGTTTCAGATCTTCAAATACTAGATTAATACGTTCATCTAAATTTTCTATAAAGAGACATTGTGGTGCCAACTGCACCTTTTTTCCAGCTGCAACATAAAGTGCTTCAAATGCTGGTAAATATTTTTCATACATTATCTTTTCCTTGGGAAAGAGACTCATTCGATTTATTTCACGTCCGCCTTTATCTTCATCTAACATAGTTTTGAGCACATAACTCTTTTGTTTTGTAGTACCATCTATTATTTATAAGAAGTTAGAAATTATTAGGTTAAATGAAATATTCGTAAGTATTAGAAATTGATTTACCTTACCCTTTAATTCGAAGTCCACATAGAGTCTTATCATTACTGAGGTGAAGTTTTCACCGGGGGGTATCGCTGCTACGGGCGTAAATTTTAACACTTTAACATAATCAGGCACATCTTTCTCCCATAAAGCTTTGAAGTGTTCAGCGCAGATCCATTCTGGTATATTTAAATTTTCATTCGGATTTTTAATATCACCGTTTGTAGACATTGTAAATATTAATATTAGTAAATCTTTTGTAAAAACTATTGGTAATAATTTGTTGAGAACTTATCACAAAATTTTGTTAGTGTAGACCGTAAAGAAATTTCACTATCAAGAGCTACTTTGAAACTAATTTTAAATAATATTATTAGCATTTTTTATGCTTATCGGGAGCTTTCAAATATTATCTGATAAAATCTTGAAGAGCTGAATTGTAGTGTGGAGAGTAGTTCTCTTAGTTTCAAAAATATTATTTTCGTGAGAAAACTTTTAAAACTTTCAAGATTTTTTAAATATCTCAATTTTGTGTTAATAATTTTTTATAAATAAAATCTCGAGAGTAGTGTAGGAAATTTATTAGTTGAAAATAAAATAAAATAAAATAAAATATGTGTAGCTCTGAGATGTTTTCAGAAGATGCGAATAATACGTGTGCTTATTTTTCCAACAGATTAAACTTAAATTAAATAGATACTTTTTGCATATCACTTTTTAAACATACCAAACCTTTAATCTATTTCTATTTAATCTAAGATAGTTTACACCAGTTGTTTATCTTAATTAGCTTTTTAAAATATTAGTTTCATTTACAAAAAATTATATTTTCTAAGAATATTTTTGTAGTGTGAAATTATTCGCAACTCGTTTTTATTCATATTTTTAATTATTCGTTAATATTATTATAATTAATTTAATTTATACATATATTATATTTAATAGAATAATTTTTAAAACTATAAAAAATACAATCGTTAATATTATATACCCTTATATGCAAAAAATGGTATAAGTTGACACATTGCTTTGGCATAATGAGGGTTAGTAAAACTTTTATAACGTAAAATATCTCCTTCGTGTCCAGGTCTGAACATATTTTCAAAAGAAGACTGTTCACTCGTTGGCAACAACAAATTGCAAAGTGTAGTGTTTGCAGCAATAGGTCCTAGAAAAGTAAGAAACTTACTCTTTATTTTTAAAAGAAACTAAAGTCTCTCTTACCCCAAAATCCATATTTAAACATCATCTGTTGAATATCCATCAAAGTCGGCCAGGACTTCTCAGTTTCATATTTTAGAAGTTTTAAACATTCAATTAAATGTGCATGGTAAATAAATAAAAAATGATCAAATTCTCTTATTTTAATATCAAGTTCAGCTGATGTTATGATTAATTGCCACAAATCTTGAGCTGGTGAACCATAGTTGCAGTGTTGAAAGCCTATGAATATTGCCTCATCTATAACGCCACTCTCATTATAATTAAACAAAATATTTGTATTGAATAGTTGTCCGTGATTAAGCACATTAATTTCATTGGGATCCACATTATTTGAGTTCAAAACTGCTTCCATATAATCTTTAATTGTTGGCATTTTTTTTATAAAGTCTTCAACATGTGGTAAACCCCACTGGCGCATTGCATTTCGAAAATGTAATTGACGTTTCTCCGTTATTCTTTTTACCATACGTATGTTGGATGCATTACAGAAACTCTCCTGGTATAAATCAGGATATGGGCCTTGAGTTGCAAAATAGACTGTTGTAGCTGCATGAAACTCAGCTAACTTCCGTAAAGCCCAACGCATGTGTAACATATCGAAACCTTTAAAGCGGTCTACGTTATGGAACTTTTTTCTGCTGAAATCTTCCAGAACTAAAACGGCATCTTCAGTCGATATAGCTGCATGCATGCATAATGGAGCCAATTTAATATTTAGACCATTGATGGATGCGTACATTTTTGTTAATACTGGTATTATATGTAAGTACATATGTTTTTCCTTCAGAAAGGTGTTACTAGGCTGTAGTTCAGTAGACTCCTTTGTATTTAATAATTTATCGGATTTTAGTAGATAAGTTGTTTTAACTATGGTATTATCTAAAATTTTTATAATGTTTGTAGTTAAACTGGTTTGTTCAGTATAAAGTTTAGAGCGGGTATAGGTGAGAAATATGAATAGAGGTTATTAATAAATAAAGTGAAAAATGTGAAAAATATCAATTTTAATTTTTGATTGTTAAATTATTCGTTATATTCCATTTATGTTGAGTAGAAAAAAAAATTAAAAAGAGATAGAAATAAATGAGATAGAAATAAAAATATGATTCTTACCTGTTAATTTGACCTCTAAGAGAACTCGTATAAAATCAGATGCTACAGTTTTATCAGGTGTTTCAGTTGTGATTGGAATTATAGAACTTATTTCTTTAAAGTTTAAAACCTGTTTAAATGCCGGTTTAAAAAATTCTTTATTAAGCCATTGAGGTATTTTCGACAAATTATTAGCGTTTATTTCGGTGGTTGTAGTTGTGGTAGACGGCCTAGACATCTTCGTTTATTAAAATGTTACAATTGTTTTACAGCCTTGTGATAGTTAAATCAATAATACATTAATAAAACACTATGAATTTTTAGTTATGAAATGAACCGCTGAAATAAAGTTTGTTGTGTAAATAGTTGCTCTCAAACATTATTTTGATATTAAAATGAAATTCGTAAACTCATAACAATACTTTTATCGATATTGATAACAAAATTATCTATTAATTACAAATATTTAATATGTATGAAATAGAAAATTACTTTTAATTGATTATGTAGAATTAAATTTTTTATAGTATCAGCAGATAAAATTGGCTTATAACAGAAAACTCTCATGATATGAAAGATAACATTTTAATAATTAAATTACATGGGTCTTAGTACAATTTAAATAACTAATAACAGAATGTAATTGCTTAACAAATAGTAAATGAGTTTCAGTTTCAATTGCTATGTTATTGTTTTTCTTTTTAATTATTGCAAAATTTATTAAAAAAAATAGTTAATACTTTTTCAAACAAAAATACACTTAATTGAAAATAGAGTTTAACAGTTTTCTGTATATCTTATTAATATATTATGTTAAATGGATATTTAAAACTGGTATTAAACCATACTTTCGAGTTTTTATAGACCATTCCTTATTTTTTGCTTATTTAATATTCTCTGAATTGTACTGATAATTTTTTATATATTAAAAATACTTATATCTAATTGAATAATATTTGATTGAAGCAGAAACAGGTCTAAGGTCATTAATAATATGATAGAAGCTATACAAAACCGCAGCAATAACAGTCTTAAGGTAAACTAAATAAAGAATACCCCCACTATTTTTTAATGCCTAATAAAATGTTACGACTAATAAAATTTTTATCTCCACTACTTAAACGTGTCACCACAAAATTTTACATTTTCACTCTATCGCTTTGTTTGACTGTCATATCCAACTTCTTGCATCTAGAGAAAATGTATGACGGTATTCATTATTATTTTTTTATTTTCCGTCTACTTCTAATCATTATTAAATACACCATTCAAAAGAGATTACTGAATTACTGAGATTAAGTTTGGTGTCAAAATTATACCTTTCATCCTAATTTTTTTGCAGCAATCGGTTTTCTAGAAATACTTTTCCTAATTTATTTATTGATGCCTTGCATTAAACACTAGTCTCACAATAAGCGCACTACAATTGTGATTTCCAGATTATGGAATCTATGACATGTCTTTATTCTTTCCATAATTTGTCTTAATTTTGTTGAAACAACGTATACCGAAGAGTATTATAAGAGATATGAGCATATCCAATAATCTGTTGGACAGTTCCTGTGTAGGTAAGATCGTTCTGATAATATCACTACTACCCAATTTGCAAATTAAGTTTGATATATCTAGGTGTTTGCAAAAGGATTCCCAGATAGATTAAATGAGTTCGAAAATTGTGTATAATTGTGATTTTTTGTAACCATTTTTTAATATACCTGATTTGACTCCTTGGTTAATTGTATACGACTTCTCTGGTTTTACTTATTAATTTAAGAAAAATGATACTAACATAATCAAAATAATTTTTATAATATCTTATTTATCTAATTTTATGTAATTTATTTTATATCTAATCTAATTTTTATCTAATATCTAATTTTTATAATATCTAGGGTAGGTAGGTATTAAAACTTTCGTGCACATTTGCCTTATTTCTGTGTTGAGTTTATCAATAGATATAAGGTATTATTTTAAGTGGTCTGTTCGATCTACATTGATCTTAATCGATCTTAACGACTGCAGTCTTAATTGGTTAACAGCAGCCTTCTGCATTGAAGACTAAGAGCGGATGGTGCTTATTTGATGTGGATTAGAGAATTTATTATATGTTAAGAGAAAATTATATAGATATTACTATTGAAAATATGAGAACTTGTAGTAGTAATCGAATAAAACTATATCTTGGTGCTAAGGAGAACTCAAGAGACATTATATATAATATATTCATATATAATAAAATGGCTAAAACCAGAACCGAAATAGAGTTATTAATAATACATTTGTATCGAATACAGATACAAATCCAGTCGTGTCTATTAAGTGATTCTATAGAATTTTGCAGAATACTGAAATATTACCAACAGTAATATCCCAGTGAACAGAGATCATATCACGCGCACTTAGTCATCTATGACTCACTACATATTGTTGTAATGTTTTAATTTTTTTTATGGCAGAATCCGATTAGCTGTTGTGACTGGAATAATAGTCTACAGTTCCTCCATCTTTTTTTCTGTCAATGTGTTTGGTTCAAGCGATAAATAATTTGTTACGAAACTTAAAATATTGCGATGTTTTGAATACTTTTCATTAAAAAATAAATTGATTAAATGACCTTGATCTCGAAAATATTTATTCTGGTTGTAATTATAGTTGGTGCTTTTCTGTTCAGTTATCTACATTTTTCATTATAATATTTCATTGCTTCAATTAAGTTCTCAAATGATGTAAGCTGCTGTATGTAATTAAGTTCTCAAAATGCAATATCAAATAAAACACATTTGAATTATAAATCATGAGGGCGGTATTGTAGATATTTTTGAGTTCTAACAAAGAGCAAATATTGTTCTATTAATTGATTAATGGAGCAGTAAGCAAATTTTTACATATACTTTTTTCATTTTTAACTGGGAACACAGAGTTTATATACATAATGGTAATTAAAAAATAAATTGAATGTAATTATGACTAAATTACAATTTCTGCATTAATATATTTCACTTGTTAATACTATATGCT